TTTTTTTAAAAAAATGAATAAATATGATGATACCTCCCGCCTACCAGACATCTGGAAACCAGCCCTAGTCAACAAATGGGCCTCACCTACCACCCAGGCTGTTACAACACAAAACAACAACGAACACACAGCCAGCACCAATCAGCATCAATCTACCAATCATGACACAACCACACATCCAATCAATCCACTTGCTGAAACGGGGCCAGCACTCCACATACCCCCACCAAGGTTTGTAGAGGGACAGCAGCTCCAATCCCCCAAAATAAGACCTCTCCGGAAAATAAGCCCAATCAGGCTTTTGAGTGCATGCATTAAAATAAGCCCTCCCCTAAAAATAAGTCCTCCCCAAAAATATTGCAATACAACAGCAGCCATGACGTGACTACAGTCGCTTCCTCCTGTACCTCAAAAATAATAAGACCTCCCCGAAAATAAGGCCAAGCCCTTATTTCGGGAGTCAAAAGAAAATAAGACCCTGCCTTATTTTTGGGAAAACACGGTATATACCCCATAATGATTATGCCCACATCAGTTCCTCTGTGCTTCTTCAGAATCTATCTAACATAACCCATACATATTTTTTCCTATGTGAAAACTGAAGTATCAAATGTCTCTAGATCTAATTCTAAAAGTCCCATTTAGATTAATGGTGATCTGTCTTTCAAATTATTATTTCACTACAAGAATAGCACCTTCATCTTCTGGAAAACTCAATATTGTTCGCATGTTTATTATTGTGGAATAAGACCACATATATATCACTGAAACCTTCAAATCTATTGTTTCTATATGAGTCATGAACTGTTAAGTTTTAGTCCCAATACTTTTCTTCCCATTATAGCAGAGAGAGAGAAATATTTTTACCACATATTCATCAATGAATTGGCGGAGATCTTTGAAGCCATACTTTTCAGCAATGTTGTTAGGATAGTGACCATACTTGTTGGCAACACTATAAGCCTGCAGAGCTCCTGGGCATGTAAGCAACAGGGCTGTGAGATTTTTTAAACCATATTTTGCAGCAAAGTGCAGCAGAGTTGGCAACTCTTCCTCTCTTTGACCTGAAAGAAAAAGGAGGAAAACACAATTTCTTATATAGCTATGCCACTGGTGACAAATTAAATAATGGAAATGGCCTAAATCTAATTTCATTTTTTGTTTATCATGTGCCTTGTCCTGTAGAATCCCTGTAAGGATAAGATTGCCAAAACAGGTCACATGTGGCATTTTGGGGGAGACAGGGGTCACGGCTACTCTGCAAGATCTGATAAAGCACTTACTAGAATACAGGCAACATACAAGAGTGTTGAACATTATATCAGTTCCTAAATATAAAATGAGTCATGTGCTGATGTACAAAGCTGTCAACTGATATATTGCCATGGGTGACTTGGGCCAGTCACTCTCCTTTGGACCAAATCACTTCAACACTGGTTGTTGTGGAGAAAATTGGAGGAGGAAAGAATATTAGATGTGTTCATCACCGTGAGTTATTTATAGAAATAATAAAGGCGGGGGGGGGGGGGAATCTATAAATAAAAAGTGCTAATCTTTCTTTCTGATCATTGCCACTGCTGCCTTTTATTACAATAATTAAACTTGCCTATTAAAGCATGAACTGTTAAATACCATATTTTTCGGAGTATAAGATGCACCAGAGTATAAGATGCACCAAGATTTGAAGAGGCAAATTTAAAAAAAATGTTTTTGCACTCCCCAGCCCCCAGGAGCACTCTGCAGGCCTCCCAAACCTCAGCATGCCCTGTTTTTTTGTGAAAAATGGGGCATGCAGAGAGTTTGGGAGGCCTGCAAAGTGCTTCTAGTGGCCAGGGTGGGCAAAAAAGAAATGCATGGGGGCTCGATCTTCCTTAAGGGTAAGGCTTTTATTGATCTCAAATCTGCTTTTGTCTTCCCCTCTCATGGCAGGGAAGGAGTAAATATCTCTCTCCCCGCTTTATTTTTCCCCCCCTTCCTCAGACCAGCAGTGACATGGAGCCGATTGGGCCAAGGAGCGGCAATCGGCTCGCTTCTTCTCTTCAGCGAGGAGGGAAAGACACGCGGGGGCTGCTGAACGGCCGCTGCCGTGCTTGACCGGGAACGGCCCATTGGGCAAGGAGGGGTGGGGATCCCTTCCATTTCGATTAACAGTTCGTTGCAGTGGCACCTGAGTGGTGAAAGGAAAACCCAAAGAAAATGACCGCACAAGGCTGCCTCCTTGAACAACTGGGCTTGTTCACAGCCCTCTTCGCAACCCCACTTCCTTAGTCTCGGGGCAAAAGCAGGTGCCAGGCTCCAGGGAGACTCCTGACCTGGCGCTCCCGCATTCTGAAGGTTCCTTTCTATCCCACACTTCTTCCACTAGCCATGTGTCACCCAAAAGGCTGTTACTGCGATCTCTGCTGCCTGGAACTGCCCAAGAAGGGGCTGGTGAAGTGAGCACTGCAGAGATTACAGTAACAGCGTTTTGGGTGGCAGCGCGGTGATCTCAGGAGCCAAAGCCTTTGAATCAAGCTGGATTGTACCCCATTCCAGGTTTTTAATTTCCCAATCTAGCGTCCTGAGAAAAGCCTTCATGCAGAGGAGATCGGTCCTCTTCACTTGCTTCATCCTCTCCACAATCCGCTCAGATCTGTCATACAGCAAAGAAATACGGTAGCTGGGTGGAATAGCAGTATAAGCAATAAGCACCGCATGACAGATCTGGGGAGATTGGGGGGGTGGGGTGGAGGAAGGGAAGAGAACCAATCTCCTCTGCACAAAGGCTTTTCTCAAACCTACCCAGCCCGTCACTAGGGCAGAGAAATGATTGTTAAATTATTTTCCCCACCTGGTACCACCTCACCCCTCTCCTCCTTGCCATACATGGCCTTGGGTGCTTTTGTTCACTCCTTTCTCTCCCCCCCCTCTCTTTCTCTCTCTTTTTCTCTTTGTTTCTCTTTTTCTCTTCTTTCTCTCTGTGTCTGTCTCTATCTGTCTCTCTCTCTATCTTCCTGTCTCTGTCTCTCTCTCTGTTTCTCTCTTCTCTCTCTTTCAGAAAGCCAAGGCTGGACTGATCCGGCAAGCTCTCCTTGGCCTTTGAGGGGGTAGCATGTCACACTCCTCCTCCCTGAACATTTCTGCCAGATCCTGTTATTTTCTGGGGATGGTTTGGGTCCCCAGCGGCCGATCTGACCCTGCCCTTGAGTGTTCTGGGCCCTTGGCTCCCATCTTCTGTAGAGAGGCTTTCATGACTTGGTCATGTGGGGGAGGGAAGGGGCCTCTTCCCAATCTCAATATCCTGTTTCCCCCTCCCCACCATATCGTCAAGCCCCACTTGTCCAACAAGGCTAATCCCAGGATCATGGCTTCGGTCATCTTTGGGACAATCACGAACCGGACCATCTCCCAGTGCTGACCCATCTCCAGCTTCACAGATCCAGTCAAATGGATTACTGGGGGCCCTCCTATTAGTGAGCCATTGACTTGTTCAAACCTCATGGTCCTAGATCACCTTCTCGCCCAGATTCCCAGCCTCAGCATTGGGTGCAGTCTTATTAAGCATTGGGTGCAGCCTCAGTCTATTAGGGCCTCAAACTCCCCCTGAGCTCCCAATTTGGGTGCCACGATTCTCACGGGGATTGCAAAAGGGTGGATGGGTCTACTCACTATCAGGTCTCTTTCTCCCTCATCCTCACTGTCATAAGAGGCGGATGACTGGTTTCCTTCAGCCAGAGTTCCCTCCCACTCAGGCAGGAAAGAGGGGACCTTGACAACCTGGCCTCACAAGCTGGACTTCTCTGGTGGCTTTTTTGGCAATTTTTTCAGTTTTGCCGTTGGTCCTGCTTTTGGTTTACATGCGACTACCAAGCATTCGGCTGCTTGATGCCCTGGCTGACCACATCGGAAGTACTGGATGGGGGCTTGGCTGTGGCTGATCGCCTCCCGGCTGGTAGGCATTCTTAACCCTTTCACGTCCTCGCCTCAGCATCACTCCTTGGCCTGCAGACTGATAGCTCCACATCTAGTTCTGTGGCAGCCCAGTACCACTCTTGCAGTTGATTGGGGAGGCCTTGGTATGCACAAGCCTGTCACAGGCCTCTGTCAAGGCCTTCTTTGAAGTGGTAGACAAGCATCCATTCTGGCCAGTGCCACAACCACCCCTGACCCTCCGGAACTCTCAAATGTATTCCTTCACTGGCCGTCTCTTCTGCTTTAACTCCCGTATCTCCCTCTCCACCTGTTGGGCTTTCCCCTTGTCTTCAAATCTCACCCTCAGCTTCCCCAGGAATCTTGCAGCATCTCTCAGTTCAGGGGCATCCTCCTCGTTGAGGGTAGCCACCTATTCTGCTGCTTCCACCTCAAGCTTGGCAGTAATCGCACTCACCATCGATCTCTGAGTTGGGTAGGTCAGGCAGCAATGGTCTAGGTGAGCCAGGACATTGTCGAGGAAGATCGCCAGACAGTCAGGATTCCTGTTGAAGGTCATAGCCGGGGAGGGGGGTAGGGTCCATGTGGTGGAGTGGCAGCGGCCAATATCCCGGGTGTCATGTTCGGGGGGGGAGGAAAGGAGCCTGATACCACCTGGGGCTGTGGGGGAGGGGCTGCGGTGGCTGCCAGGATGGGCTGACTGCTCCTGGTGGCTGCTGGGGGCCCTGGCCAGAGCCCGGACTCACTGTTGTCACTACTGCTGTAGAGGATCAGAGGCTTCTCCTGGGGCTTGTCCCTGCCACCACAGCTCCCTGCTGTGGTGGAGCAGCTCACTCCAGGCTCCACCCCTCGCTGTCAGTTGAAACTTCGGACTGGCGAGGTGGAATCTGACAGGAGGACTCGGGCTCTGTCATCCTAGAAACGGCTGGGTGGCTTGATGGATCACCTCTTCCGTTACTTCCAGCCATAGCAGATGTTCCATACCCCAGATGCTCGTGTGGTCAAACCACTCTCTCAGCTGCTCTACTGAAGAGCTCCAAGGCACGGTCAAATATTTCCATTCCCTCAGCTCATCCCAGTCTACTGCTCTCTTTTCCCTTGACTGTGGGGGCTGGGCCCCCGTGTACATGGGTGCCACCAGGAGGAGCTCATTTTGTGCTGCTCCGGGGGCCCTCCTCCACCAGAATTCATCTACTGTGAGGAAGGGGCTTCCCCTGATCGCTGTTTCCCCTCCCCCCCCCGTGTCTCTGTCAGGTTCGGCTTCCCCAGCCACACTTTCGGTCTTGCGATCACCAGTGGGGCAGTGTTGCTAGCTTAGTCTCCCACTTGCATCATTACCAGTTCCTCCACTGGCTTGTCAGTGGCCTCTTTCCTCTTCTTCTCAGCCATCTCTTCTTAAGGATTTCCCTTCCTCCTGAATTGACCGGTGTGGAGGGCAGAGGCTCAGGAGTCCCTGAGGTTTGATGGGTTTTAGGAATGTTGGTTTAATGTCATGGTTCTGTGTAATGCTACCAACCAGTGCTCCTGTGCTGCACAGCTGGCTACTCACCTCACTGCGCAGTGGCAGCAGTGGGAAGAGGATTTGCCATCCCCGCCACCAGCGTGATCCCATCCCAGGACGGTATTTCACTTGTGCATGCATACGCGCGCGTGCGAGAAAGAAATGAGAGAGAGAAAAGGGGAGAGAAAGAGAGAAGAAAATGAGAAAATGATGGAGAGAGAGAATGACAGAGAGGAAAAACAGAGAGAAACAATTGAGAGAGAGAGAAGGGGAGAGAGAGAGGGAGAGAGAAATAAAAGAGAGCTGGAGGGAATAAATGAGAGAGAGGGAAAAGAAAGGGAAACAAATGAGAAATGGAAGGGGGAGAGAAAGGAGGAGAGAGAAAGGAAGGAAGAGAAAAAAGAAAAAAAAAGGAAGGAAGGAAGGAAGGAAGGAAGGAAGGAAGGAAGGAAGGAAGGAAGGAAGGAAGGAAGGAAGAACTCTCTCAAACCTATGACGAAAGCAATGGCAAGCTAGATCTCTTGCCATGAAAACTACAGTTTGCCGGAAGGCACAAATTGGAAGCAAGTCTGATTTTTTTTTTAAAGGAAATAACAGAGATGGCAAAAAATGCATCTGAAAATAAGATTATTTATAATTTTGGATAATGTATTATATTGTCAAACTCAAATGAAATCAAAATATATATGCAAGTTAATTATGAAAAGATTACAGAGATGCAATTTCCCACAATTAATAACTTTATTTGGGATTTGGTATCATATTCCATGAGAAGGAAAGAAAAAGAGAGAAAGGGAAGGAAAGGAAGAAGAGAGAGGGAGAGGAGAAAGAGAGAAAAACAGAAATAAGAGCGAGGGAGAGGGAAACCCATTTCCCCCAGAAAACACTGAGAGACATGAAACCTGGGTAGGCATGGCTGGAGGTGGTGGTTATGTGACTGGGTGGGAGTGATGTTGAGTTGGTCACGTCCAGCCAGGTTTTGTGATTCCCAGTGTTTTCTTTTCTGTGGGAAACGGGTGCAAATGGCTCCTTGAGTGTTTAAGGTTGCAGACCCCTGCTCTAGTTGTTAGGATTATGCAGGACAGTCACACATGCCCAACTTTTTCATATAACATATGCTTTTGCATCATGTAGTAGCATTTGAATTTAGTATAGTATCATTCATATAGGCTTTTTTTACCCAAATCATGATCATACTTACTAGAAATATTTTCTTCTTCCAATTGGTTGATTCCTAGGAGGTGCAAACCACTGGCAGGAAGGTTTTTTTTCAATGATTCTGTGAGGATTTTGTCCAGAGCTTCTGTGTTATATGGTACAATCTTAAATGCCTGGATGTAAGAAGAGAACAACCACCAATTAGGTATACCCAGCACTGGTTCTATGTATTAGGATTTTGTCTGTGACTTTAAAAAAACTTAAGAAATTATTAGCATTTAATAATCTTAAAACAAAATGATGATCATCAATCACCATACTGTACTCAGCTTAATTCACCTGGGTAAATTAAATGATGTTGTGGATGTTCTTTCAAGGTGCTTGGAGGCTGTGGGAGGCTTGATGGAGAACAACAGGCTTCAACAGAACCCTGGTAAAATGTATGGCTCTGTGTGGTTGGGTCCTGTGTATCTGGGGGGGGGTATCATTTTTTTGTCTAGGATGGGGCTGCTCTGCCCCAGGTAGATCCATTCATGATCTGGGGAACGTCCTGGACTCACATCTCCTTCTCAAGGAGCAAACAGCAGTCATGGCTAGGAAGGCCACACCAGTTGCACTCCTTCCTATATTGGAGGCCCTTCTCTCAATCATTCATGCCCTGATCATCTCCTGAGGGACTATTGCAATGTGCTCTACATAGAGCTACCCTTGAAGAGCATCCAGAAGCTGGAGTTGGCACAGAATGTGGAGGCAATTCTGGATGCCCCAAGGACTGAGCCTGTAAAACCTTTGTTGCATGAACTGCATTGAGTGCAGGTTTGCTTCTGGATTTAATTCAAGGTGCTGGTTATCACCTTTAAAGCTCTTCATGGCATGCAACTGGATTACCTGAGGAACATCTTGTTCTGTCAGGCAAAATGGGTATGCTACAGGCCATGTCAGTTGAAGAATGTTGACTGACAGGATCTAGAAAGAGAGCCTTCTCTGCAGTGACCTATGAAACATCCTCCATCCAGAGGTGAAGTTGGCACCCAGTCTCTTGGCCTTCCAGAGCGTGAAAACCTGTCTCTGCCAACTTGCTTGGGGATTGAAAAGTGGCATGCCACCTGGGGGGCGGGGAAGTTGGTGCTTTGAAGGCACTCCCTCCAATTTTATCTTTTTTTTTACTTTGTTTCTCACCCTGTTTTGATTCTATTTTAATTGTATGGTTTTTTTCATATGGCAGCCCAGAGTCACTTAGGTAGTCAGACTGGCTCTGGCTACTCCCTAGGAAAGAACTACCCTTGAGTCCATAGGTTTTAGAGAAAAGGTACTTTTACTAGAAATACTGAGTGCAGCAAGCTCTCATGCGAAAATTGTGTATTGAAAGGAATATCCAAATCCCTCCCCCCTGGGAGAGCAGTCCAATCAGGTCTCATTCCAATGTTTTGGGAAATCGGTGTGTCAGGCGCCAGTGTAAATTCCTTTCCTGGCATCCTTGAAGGTTGGCAGATGGCTCAGTTTGGCACCTCTGGTTCCTGTTAGTGTCCATACTCCAATAGTATTCTTCCATATCTCCAGCATGCTCCCCTCCTCCCCATGATGCTCCCTTCCCCCTGATTATGGCAGTAGCTAGTGAGCTTCAAAGAAAGCAAAGATGAGCAGCAGACATGGGTGGTCCCTAAATTTGATAAATAAAATAAGTCTGTAGTAATACTGAAAGCAGTGTTGCATATTTAGACAGGGGCAGTCAACTGATGGCTGATATGAAAATGAATGTTCTTATGCTACATACATGTACAATATTTACTACCAAACATTTAGAAATCATCAGGTAATAAATGTGGGAAAAGTAAGTATACAGGTAGTCCTTATCTTACAAAAGTTTTTTTTAGTGACCATTCAAAATTACAATAGCACTGAAAAAAGTAACATGACCATTTTTCACAATTCCAATCTTTGTAGCATCCCCATGATCATGGGATCAAAATTCAGAAGCTTGGCAACTGATTCATACTTATGACCATTGCTGTGTCCTAAAGTAATATGATCACCCTTTACAGCCTTTTGACAAGCAAATTTAATGGGGAAGTCAGATTCATCTAACAACTGGTTTACTAACTTATTAGTTGCAGTGATTCACTTAACAACTGTGACAAGAAAGGTCGTAAAATGGTGCAAAACTCAGTTAACAAATGTCTCAGTAAACAGCAGAAATTTTGGGCTCAATTTAGATTGCAAGTCGAGGACTACTTATATTTTAATATACAGTTTCTAACAATATTACTGCAGAAATGCAGCTATGTTGCGGAGGTTCTTATATATTTTACATCTCAAGCTACATGAAATTAAAAATGTTCATGGCTGAAGTCCCCTTCCTTTATTCTTTGTTTGAATTTAGGAAACTTAAATCAGTGATACTGAATACTGAGAAGAATAATGCATGCCCAGAGTCATGCTAGATACTGCTTCCCTGTCCAAAAGCAAGCATACAAACTTGAGAAGTTATCATGTTCTGAAAAAGTGGATGATATCAGTAATGGATCATTGCATTCCCCTCAAATGAAGCATCTCAGAGGTCTGTTCTGATCCCAAAATCATGCCACTGCCACGGATGCCCGCTTGTATATACACTAACCCATTAAAGTTGGAGAGAAACTCATGGAATTGAAACAGCTTTTTTTTCCTAAAAAGGAAAAATGCTGTAGATATAAGCAAGAACTGTCTCTTATGCACTACTGATCACCTCATGATTGGACTATTGTAATGGATTTTTGGACCAGACCAGTTGGAAGTCACTGCAGGTACAGAATTCAGTAGTGCAGGTAATGTCAGGTAGGCCTCAGTATGCCCCTCTGACACCACTACTGCATGAACTGCACAGGTTAACAGTGAGCTTCCAGGCACAATTCAATATGCTGTTTGTTACCTATAGCTCTTTGTGATGTAGAGCAGGGGTGCCAGTTCTAACCTCTTCTATAGAAGAGGTTCCACAAATCTACAGTGCCATTTAGAACTGGTTCCAGCTCCCTCCCCCTGCCTGTCCGCACATCATCAAGATGAAGAGCAAGAGGAGGAATTCTGGGAGTTGAAGTCCACAAGTCTTAAAGCTGTCAAGTTTGAACACCCCCGGTGTTTTTTTCTAAAGGGTTAGGGGTGCAAGGGTCTTGTAACTTGACAGCTTTAAGACTTGTGGACTTCAACTCCCAGAATTCCTCCTCTTGCTCTTCATCTTGATGATGTGCGGACAGGCAGGGGGAGGGAGCTGGAACCAGTTCTAAACGGCGCTGTAGATTTGTGGAACCTCTTCTATAGAAGAGGTTAGAACTGGCAGGAACCCACCCTTTCCTGGGACATTGCAACCGTCGTAACTACAAGTCAGTTGCCAAGCGTCTGAATTTTGATCACGTGGCCCTATGGATGCTGCAATGGTTGTAAGGGTGGAAAACAGACATAAGTCACTTTTTTCCAGTGCCGTTGTAACTTTGAGCAGTCACTAAATGAACCATTGTAATTCAAGGACTGCCTGTATATATATTTATTGATTTATTAATTAAAATTTCTAAACTGTCCCATGGTTAATTAAAGCACATTTTTAAAAAATTGAAACATATACACGTTGCGCCAAAGTCGGGCCCCCATTGCTCAACCACCATGTGGTTGACTGTTTTCCCCTGAGGCTGAAGAGGCAACGCTCTAAAGATAGAACAG